ACCTCCGATGAGAAATATCTGATCAAATTCATAGAATGGAAGAACATCAAACTTTCTTTTCGCCTTCTCAATTCTAATCATTTCCATATGAAAGCCCATTCAGTAGCTTAGCTCTCCTCACACATTCTCCATTCTCTCAATCAGAATGTAGACCAGTGCGAAATTATTTTTGATGCATTCACATATTTGTTTTTCGTCAACTTTTTTTCCATTCCGTCACTTGTCTGATTTCCGTTCTGTTTTTAGTATCCCTTCGTTCTTTGCAAGTCTTGCGCCAATTCGAAGGACCGCAGTTGCTCTGATTGACTCTCAGCTTAAATACTTGGTTGAAGCTAACTTTTAGTAATTTTTTGCTCTCCCAAAGCCCTTCTCCTTCCCTTCAACCCACAACTCTTTTTTTTCCCTTCATGTATCTCTTCCTCCCTTTCTCTCTCTCTCTCTCTCTCTCTCTCTCTCTTTTTTCCTGTTGTTATTTTGACAATAAAATGACTGAGAGAAAGACATTCTATCGCTCATATCGAACATCAAAACTTCTCTTCACAGTTCACCTAGCAGGCATTTGACAATAATTTTGTGTTTTTTTTTGTTTTCTGCCAACCAGTTTCATGCTTGTTGCTTCTTCATCCGTTTAGACATCCCTCTCAGACCTCTAAATCGCATTTCATTTCTTGATTTCCTTCTGTGTTCATTGTCGTCGATTATAAAATGTGTCTTATATTTCCTTCCCATTGACTGCATTTGTTTAGTTATTGTTGGCTTGTTGTCATCATCATCATCATTTTATTTTGTAATTACTAGTCAACGAATTATTCTATTTTTACTATTCACAATAGTTTGCCTTCTATATTTGGATGTGTTAACTTGAAATTTAATTTTTTTCAATTCGCAGAGAGAAATAACGAATAATTTCTTTTCTTTGTTCTTTGCAGGTGACTCAACTTGACTCTTCGCTGGTGGCTCACACATAGTGAAGACTCGTCCGTAGAAGACTCTCTAACCTTTTTAAACCAATCATATTTACGTGGAACAATCTTCCGTTCGATATCTGTTATTCTCAACGAAAGTGGTAAGAGCACTGCTTTTAATCTTTTCAGAATGAAAGAAAGAAAAATTAGGAAGAGAGAGAGAGAGAGGAAAGATGAGTAAGAGAAACAGAAAGAGAGAGAAAGAAAGCAGAGGGAGAGATAAGAGTGTCAAGAACGGAAGAAGCAGCTGAAGAATGGTAAGAATCTAATGCTCAGTGCTTTGGGATGCATGTGCCACAGAAAGCATTTGCTCATCATTTGTCACATTTGATTGTTCATGAGGTTTTAATACCTCCATCCATTTTATCCTTGCTTTTCCCCTTTCGTGTCATCCGCCAGTTTTGACCACAACCACTAGCCCACAACACATATTACGTTGGTCACATACAAAGCCGGTTTGCTTAATATGTCTGTTCCTTTTTTTTACTTATAAAAGGCCTAAGTCGACTTTTTATGAATCTGAAGGGGGGGGAAGCGAACGAAAGGGATGTTTGATTCATCCAATATACATTTTCCTTTTTTTTTTTTTATAACAGCCGAAACTCGAATTTTACCTGATCCAAATTACCGTCCCAAGAAAGCGTCTCTGTTTACAATGGTTTCTTCAACCTGAAAGCCACTTCGTTTTCTTTTTCGTCATCACTTTTTGCATCATTTTAGTTTTCTTTACTGTTCCTCAAACTAGTCAAACTTTTCATGGCCTTGTTATAACCTTTTTTTTTGGTTTCTACTTCAGCACTAGTGTCGTTTCCGGAATCCTTGATTCATTTCCTCAGTCATATATTCTCGTGTTTTTATATATCCTCCATAAACTGCTGTATGTATATGTTCATTCTTACTAACCTTCTCTTTCTCCATTTCCACCCTCTTATTCAATGCTATATGAGTTCTCTCCTCCAGTCATTTTCAGCATATTTCAAACTGAAGATTCGAGAACGGGGAAAAAAACGTTTATTTACCTGTTTTTACTCTTCTTCTGTAAATAAAACTTTTTGTGTGTGTGACTGCATTCGTAGATGATGCACACTGCTTCTTTTGAGGAACGAAAAATGCACAGAAGAGATGGAGATGATGAAAAGGCGAATTCCCGATGCTCTTGTCTTCTGTCCGTCAGCGTATGTGTGTGTGTGTGTCTGTGTGTGTTATTTTAAATTTTCTGGAACATAATCCATCACAGTCTCTGATTAACAGCACCATTGAATGTTGAGACTTTTTTTTCTTCTATAATCTCTCTTTGTGAAGCAAGAGTAAGCAAATGCGGGAAACTATTCAAAAAAACAGTTTTGCAATTCGATGCGTTTTTTTTTTGAATTCAGGTTTTCATTGCGTTTTACCATTTTCATAAAACAGATAGTCAGTCTATCTCGAAAGTCCACACTGATCATCATGATCATGGTGTCCATGTATGAATTAGGATAAATTGAATTAGCATTGTCCATTCGTTTATCGCTCAGAGCTGAACAAGCGCAAGCATTTACGTATTCAAAAATAAATATTTGAAAAATGCGCCAATGAGGTTGACTCATCTCAGGTGTCTCCTACTTTATGCAAATTAAATTTAGGCTCTCTATTTCGAGTCTTACGCGCCAAACTATGAATTATACTATATGCTAATGAATTAGATTGCGTAAAGTTCGATCTACTTCCGATTCATTTCTAAATTGAAACGCACCGTGAGCGGCTGCACATAATTAAACGCTGTCCTCAACCAATTGTCCGAAATCAGCAAGATGAGCAGTCGAGAATCGCTTACGTACGTTTATATTGTTTGAACTTTTGTTTATATCTATCCATATATATATATATATGTATATTTATATACATATAAATTTCTCTATAATTTCTATTGGACGTGTGTTACAATTAGTGTGGACTAGTAGAATTCTCATCCCTTCCATCTCCTTTACTCCCCCCTCCCTCATCCCGCACTCTCTTCCTCGTTTCAAAACATTTTCGATGCGCAGCTAGGATATTCCATTCGTTTAGTTTCTCCTGAAATTCTTAGTATTATATTATGCCATTAATGGAGCCCTAAATTCATTGAAATTCTTCTTTAGTGAAAAGGGTGAATCGCTCAAACATGCCATTCTCTCTAACCTCCTGTCTTTTCCAATTTTATTGATTCCATCAGATTTTTTTTGTTTTCAAAAATTAGGCGTAATCCACTAATCTGCTAATTTTGTTTACAAATGTTTTATATTTCATTTGTTGCAAACACAGATTATAACCCCTGTTTTTCAACTTTTCTTTTCTATAATTACATCTGATGTGAAGGTCATTTCCTTTTGTGAAACAGTTCCGAATATCCCTGTTATTCTTTTCTTATTGAAGATGGTAGACAACTGCGGGAGTCTTTTCATTGGTCATATTTAGTCATCTCCGTATATCTGGTAGTACCTTTTACCTTTTCTATGATCAATTCATAAGACATCACTTTATAAGTTTCCGAGCTTTGAAACTTCTCCTATCGGAGCTGCTATCTCTGATAGAAACTTTCTCAGCTCATTATTGTGCCAGCGTTAGTTCGTTTAGTCAGCGGAAATCAATGCTATCAGTCCATATTGCTGAATAAGCGGACCCGTTGACAAATGTTTCTTGCCAACGTTTTAATAAAAAAACGAGTAGAGAGAAACATTCATGGAGTCACGAGCTTATGAGCCACTAGTGTACTTCGTTGTCATTTATCTGCAGCAGTTGCTTGCTTTGTTGTTGTTGATTGGCTTGATCATTGCTCTGTTTCAAAGACTCGTTTGTTGTTTAAACGGCAACTGATGTATATCTCAGAACATTTCTCGGCAAATAACACAGCGTCAAGTAGGACTTCAATCGGCAGTCAAAAATCTTTTTTCATGTCGGTAATGAGCGTGGAAAATCGATATTGTAGAGATTCTACAGCAAAGTTTCTATATTTGGCAGTTAGTTTTCGCTAGAGCTGATTAAACAGTTCAATATTGAAAACAAAGCATTGAAGGAAGTGGTAGATTGTATTATTTGGGCCAGTGAGCTGCGAAATTGCTTTACAGTACGATATTCTGTCAGTCTCCATTCCGGGAAGCTTTATGAATTAGTCGTCTTATCAGGCTTGGAAACTATCTTTCTAGAACTTTTTGTTCTCAATCGTCATAGCATTTTTAATCTTTAGCATCTGATAGAATGATGACCTGATGTTAAGGAAAACAAGAGCTGTTTTGAAGGCTTCGAGGCATTCGATATCGACATCTATTGATCTCAGTTTATCATTCGTTGCAATTGCCATTTGGCAGTTGATTTCGTGATATGTCTGCTATGATATGAGCATTATCGAACAAAATGCAGCTAGAAATCTGTATTTCTTGGAGAAAAAAATGTTAAGAATCGGGTTGTTCACTGTAGATGATCCCAACTTGCTATTCCGTGGATCTGCGGAGGCGTCCAAGATAAGAGTGGTTGAACAAGGATAGACCAAAGTTCTCTCAAGCTATCCCTGTGCGCACTTTCCATCTCTTTTTTTCTCTCCGTCACTACTTTATTTCTTGTCTTCACCTGCTAGTTTGTCTATCCTCTACGCCGGAACCATCCTGGAGATCACGTGGTAAGACAGCAATCTCCACATACTGGCTACCGCTGATGACTAGCTGACTGCTGCGCTTCGTTGTTAGCGTTCTTTAACTCCAATGGCGCTATGAAAGAACATAGAAGAACATCGATGATTTCAGCAGTCCGGGACGGTTAAGGAATGAGAGCCTAGTTGTTGTGTAGAAAATGCTGTCGTGTATCGAATGATAGAAGACTTGATTTCATGTCATGTGGCGGAGAGCGCAGTGTTGATGCGTATGTGGGCCACACCCCCTCTATTGGGTCGACAGCCGGCCAACCAGGCATACCTTCGCATACAATACAATACCACACTCTACCGCACAATCGCTAAAGAAACATTGTCTTCGCTATTTTCAATTGGATGAAACTCTGGCTTAATTGTTTCTAAAATTCAAAGCTATGCTGTCTTACTTGGAGCCTGATTACTTCCATCGGTGAGTTGATTTTTTTCAGTTCATAAAAAGGTTTCCTTTTGTTATGATTCACACTATGTGTTGTTTTAATGATTGTGAAAATGTTAGAGAACTGAGAATAATTACATTGGGTCCTTTACTCATATTCCTCATGATCATTCGATTGATCACGAGAAGTTTGCGTAGAAAATTCGGCTCGCATCTTAGTGTTGTTGCAATGTTGACCGTTAATATTCTGAAATGTGGAACTATGAAACTAATGCTGTCGGATTATTGATTCGTGTACAGTATTTTTACAGAAGTATAATTCGGTATAGACTTGTGCCATATGTTATTTGACTTCATGATATATGATGGTCGACGTTTACAAAAGACGATTATGAGAATTCTGTTTAGAGCCTTTTTATGTGAAGTGGCTTGCCCCGATCCAGTCAATAACAACTGGCTATCTATTTAACACGTTTGTGATGAACTGCTTGATTCGTTTCTAATTTGACAAGCAGCTCTCGCCGTTTCATCATTCTACGTCATCTACGATACTCACTTAGCGTTTTGCTCAAACATGAATATATATTTGAAAATTGGTTGTTTGCTTCTACGAATTGAAAGCATACTTCCGGCAGAATACTTAGTTTATAGATTGGAGAGTAACATTATTTTTTTTAATTGGTAGCGAGATATGGGAATGATTTATGTTTTATGATGATTCATGTGTAACTCACACTTGCCGGCATTGATTCAAAGACGTTGTTTCAATATTCCGCCAACTGAAATATAATTTCCATTCCTATCAGCTTATTCAGAACTGCAAAAGTTTCTTTCATGCGACATTATGGTTTGGAAACGCTCAATTGCATTGATGATTGTGGCATAGAGGATGAGCTACTCTCGTTCCGTTTCCATTCCTTTCCAACCGCCGTCTTGAAAGTTATGTCGGAGAAAAAGTAGAGTATCTACTTGTTGTTTCTTCCGCACAAACAATCGGTTTCACTATCGGTTTTTTTTCCTATTCGTCTCTCTTTTTGATTCGGGCCTGAAGATTCTGAAAGTTTTCAAGGCATTAATAATGCCCTCAAGATTATGGGGAAGGCACTGGTCAGGCAAAAGCGCAAAACTTCATCGTGTTGTAAAGCGCTCATGTGCTTTTTGCATTTGTCGTCTGATCGGCTGTCGGTTTCTGATCTATAAGAGTTTCTGTGTTTCTATTTGTTTGTTTGTTTGCTTTGCTGTTTCTGAATTTGGAAAAAAAAAACGTCTTCAAAGTGTTGACTTTGCAACGGTTCTCAACTAGAATTTAATTATTGCTAGTTATTCATGAGAGAAAGTATCAAAGTTTAATTCTTCTACTTGATTGAAAGAAATTGATGCGTGAAGACCTCATTCGAGTTTCATGGGCTTGAAACGAAAATCATATTAGATCTGCACAATGTTTTTTAATTTTCATTGATATTGCCACTTGATTAATTTCCCTATCACAAAGCGTTGAGAGCATCTCTATTTCTTATTCTTAAGTTCTATAAAATATGTTTGGTGAAAAGAAATTGTCATGAAGTTCACCATATCCTCTGTTTCAATTCATTTTGCATTCTTGTTTGAATGATAATGATGGCTCGAAGCTGATAGCGGTATACTAAACTTTGGAATTTCAAACGTTACTACCATATTCCAGAAAACGTATCTTTACAGCATTGTTTTTCGCTTTATTCGTGACGAGCGTATTCAATCCCGTAATTTTTTCCTCATTCTTCCTTTCCTTCAATTAAACGCTGTATACACCTTCGATTTGATTGCTCTCGTGACCACGTTGTCTCCATTTCCATAGCTTGAATGTTCTGATGCGTAGCTTGTTTAGAGTTTGCTCAGAATTATTCAGCTAATATGATTGAACTTGCTAGGATGATTCGATAGCCTTGTGCTTCATATAATCCTTAATAGTCTGATTGAATCATGTTCGTTCAGGTGTATCGATAAATAGTCGGTTTCTTTCGTATGTCTCAGCTTATCGTTAGTAGCAAAATAATTGCTAATTCATCGGAATCTCGTTCGGATGACTACATTATGGAAGATTCCCACTAAGTTAGAAGAGAGGATATTGTGAAAGGAATTAACATTTCCTGATTAATGATGAATTGCTGTGAAATATATTGGATTGGGCTTATTCGTCAGCATGACGGATGTGCATCGTTCTGTCAAAATGACAGGTGTTTTTTACTCAGCAAGGATCTGAATTCGACAATCTGCTTGAAATATTTAACTTGACTTTACCAACACTTGACATTGGTTATTGGAAGAAGAAGACTTCATCTTTATTGGTTACTAATACTTTAACTAGATCGTCCACATTGTTATTTCTTGTTAGATGGCCAGTCGTATCTCATTTATGCATCTTACGAAGCCCCTAGGCGTCGATTTGTGTGCCGATTTCCCCACCCTCTTCTCTTCAGCATCCTTTCTTTGTATGTCCTCCAACCCCATTGTCCAATATATATATATATATATATATTTATATATATACATTTCTGTATATATATAGATCAAGAATTCAGTTTCTTGAAGTATACCAAACAGTAATTCACGTTTGATAGCTTTTCGATACCATTTCGTGTAGGAATCACTCTTTTAGATGCTCTCAGCTTTCTCTTTTTTTCAAACAAAAGTGACTGACAGCACAAAAAAGTTGCTACGGCTGTTTATGCAATCTGGCTGAGCTGGATTACATATAGTTCCTTTTCATAATACCTCCACCTCCCCGACCGCTCTTTTCTCTTGTTCTAAGGGTGGGGGGTTTCCTATAGAATATCTTCTCATCATGTTTATCGATCAAAGATCAATGCTGCTAGCCTGTTTGGCCTCAAACACACATTTCTTATGTACCTTTATGGTCAGTTCGTGATGGTTTGGTCGATTCGGTTTAATTTTATCACTAGAGTGACGAGCGAATTTGATTCAAAGATTCTTTGATTTTCCAAAATAGAGCTTTTAAACCGACACCAGTCAAACCTATGCATTGTGACATATAGATAGAATCATCTCTTAGCTTTAAATCTTCATACACCCTCAATCAAATATAAACCAGTCTGCTTGATTATGAAAACAACTGAGAGTCTAGGCATCGCCGTAAACTAATGGCTAAAAAGATGTTATGGGGTTGGCACCATGACTGAGACAGTAGTACGAGTGTCAGTAGTTGTAAAAGAAGTAGTGGCTGTTGTTGTTGTTGTTTTTTGGTTAGTGCTGGACCAATGAAAGCAGGAGAGAAAATATCGACGAGAGATGAGGGAAACTGAAAGAGGAAAGAAATTTGGGGGAGGCACTAAAAGCTGCTGTTTTTTATCGTCCGTTGTTGTTGTGTATGTGTATGTGTACGTGCATGTGTGTGAGTGTGTATATGTATATACGTTTACTGTAAGGATATGTTTTTTTTTCCTTAGAATGCACATATTTCGGTCTTTTAACATACATGAGTGTGAAACTAGTCTTTTAGAGAACACATGCTTGACCGCGCAGATTGTTTAGAATTAATAGGAAGAGTTAAGGAAGGGACCGCAGTTTAGTTTATGCATCATCGACATTAATGCTCTCTTATTCTGAAATATTTCTCCTTGCGCTTATTAAGACATTCATATGAATAATATGCCATGTCCAGAGATTTACTACGAATGATAGCTTCGCTTCCCCATTCAAGAATCTTTATCTGATTTGTCTGAGCGTTTGCTGCACCAATGCTTCTCTCTTTTTAGCTCTAGAATTGTATCGTACATCTAGACATGAAGCGCCTAAATCAGATTGTGTCCAGTTCCATATAAAAAAACTGAGTTCCCTCTTGATGCGAAAACATACTTTCGTTCGTTGTCTCCTTACTTAGCCAGTTCACAAAAGAGTAAAACCCAGTCACGCATCATTTTGTGTCTCTTGACCATCTTTTAGAGAATATCTTTTGAGTATATTTCATGCTCTTATAATAGAAAGCTATTGCTAGGCTAGTTCTCCGATTTCAACCCAGGATCTCATGTTGCTACCATCATAGACGTTAGTGCGTAGAAAGTTGATCCATTAGACGCGCTTTTTCCATATGATCATACAAGCATTGTGTTTTAAGTCTGATCTACTTCTATTGGATTTTTTTTTCAAACATGAAAGAGCTTTTGGAAGCCAACTATGATTGTAACTGTCATAGCGTGTGAAGAGAGGGCTATTTTTTCATGATTTATTGAACTCCAATGACGGAAATGTGCTAGGATCAGAAGTTTGAACAGAAAAGAACTGAAGGTCAAAAAAAACCAATACTAGACCACGTTTTCATTCAGTAATAGTTTACGTTCTTTCAAAAAAGAACTTTCAGTTACTGCTTTGATTGTACAATATTGGTTATGAAGTAGTTTGTTAGGAGAGCTGGTTCGTGGGATAGGCCTGGTTTAGCGTCAGACTGAAAAACAACTGCCGTTGCTCTATTCAGTGAAGAAAATGAGAGATGGAGGAATTGTTGAGGATGGGAGAAAAGGAGGGAAAGATAGAAGGAACTAGAGAGAAACGATGACGAGACTATCGTGAAGCTTGTTTTCCCTGTTCGTACGCTTGCGAAGCTCCTCTGTAAATTTTATTCACTATCCAGCTTCGCCTATTATATGTACGCATTTTACTTGTTTTTTCCTTTTAGTCTATATCTCTGACTAGATTTGTTGTCTATCGTTTGCGTTTTTTATGTACTGCAACTTAAATAGTATGTAGTCTCCTTAGTCCGATTTTACTCTTTTTCTCAAATTCTCTATCGAATACCGAGCTCTTCTTGACTTTGGGGTATTTCAATGGAATTTGTGCACGTTTTTACCTGCTCTTCGCATTTCTCTTCTTCTCTCTTAAGTTGAATATTTCTCTTTTCGCCCTGACTTCTCTGTTCATCATAGCAGCTTCTCTGTGGTTTCAACGCGTTTTCGCGCGCGGCTCATCGCGCGATGTGCAATCTGCTTCTCCGTGCTCTCCATGTTTCAACTATGTTCTCAAAGCGTTCGTCTTGTGGGCCACTCTCTTTTATGCTGGTCTCGAATCTATCTTTCGTTCTTCTCCGCTTTTAACTCGTTCTCTCTGTTTTTCTCTCGACCTTTTTCTTTCCTCTTGGTATCCCTCTCTCTCGCACCATTTCTTACCCAGTGAGCACTAGTCAGTCCGGCCGTCATGCATTTTGATTCGGATACTTTTTCGCCTTAGGCTTCAAGATGCTGGTTTTCTACAATTTTATTTCAAATTGTAAAGTTCATGAATTCCTAAGTTTGTTTTCTTTATAATGTTATGGTATGATCTGTGAAATCAGTATGTTTGTACGGCTGATCGGACGTTGTCGCATTAATCAATATATCATCAATAATCATCTTCGTTCTTTAGCATCTGATATAAAGCTCGCTATTCAGTATCACAATAAGCGATGTTGTAACTTTGCTGCTTCTCTTTATTACTATGGTTTCCACATGCGTAAGGATAGAGTTTCTGTATGTGTGGATAGAACTAATTTTCTCTTCTCTCTTCTTTCATCTCAGTATACAACCCCCTTCTTAGCATTTTCTCTGCTGGTAGTATTCGATCTGTTCATTTCCTATTTAGTACCAATTCCTTGCTGTAACTCTATTGCAATACATGTACGATTGGTAATTGGTGTTTTTATTGTAGTCACCTGTCTCCTTCCTGGGGTTTGTTTTGTTTTAGTAGCCTTTCGGACACTGACCACTTGGTGCATGTGCCCTTCTTGAACTCAGGCAACTGAGTTGACAATTGTCTTGCCTCAAAGGACTACTTAGTCATGCACTCTCAGTAGGTGCCATGACTTGAGCGTTGCTTTGTAATCCCAACAACTAGCAAGCATCATTAGGGCTAAAGGCGAACTATTAACATGATCATATCATTTAGCTCATTAAAGCTAAGGCTAAACATGAGAATATAACAAATGGAAAAGAATCAATCTAGACTTCTTCCAGTCTCTAATGTACCATTGTTCGCTGTCATAAATTTATAGAAGTTGATTGCGAATGTGACTTGAAATTATTGAGGCTCATCTGCTACTGGGGTTCCCCTTCTATGCGTGTATAACAGCTCTTCATTCAGATATATGAGTGGAGGAGAGAGTAAAAGAAGATAAGGAGAGATACAGAGCAAAAGAAGAAACCCGAGGGAGTGAGGGAGCGTTTAAAGAGAAGTAGAACTGGAAAGAAAGGCAAAGAATTGAATAGATTGAATAACTAGAATGAAGCAAGCTTTCACCGAACCACTTTCCCTCCGATTTCGTATTTCTATTTCTCCCTCTTATAGATGGTAGAGGTACTGATTGACGGCATGAAGACTAAACGATGTGACATTGTCTGACGTTCATAATTCAGCCACAATCATTCCTGCCATCTTCTCCAACAGATGCAATAGTCTCATCTGGAATATATTGTTATCAGATACCATATAGTAAAGAAACCTTCCGTCCAAACATTGTAGACTACTGGTGTAGTAGAGGCGACAACGCTAACGCTGCCACCTGGGTGGCCATCTGTCGCCTTTCCGAGTGGCCATATGGGGAAGTAGCTTGCCCTCTTATAGGACCACACATGCGATTCAAGCAAGCCGATTGACCACTCATAATTATATCTTATCTACGTAGGATTAGAACGGATGCCTTTTACATCCAGCTTAGCGAACATCCTAAACTAAAAAGATTTATTTCAAACTCTTTCTTAAGTTGTTTTAAACTCTTCTTCCGGTTTTTCCCGCCCACTCCAAGAATGCGCGCATATCCTGAAATTTGAATTCATGGGTTGGACTTTGCGGTTTGATTTTTTAAAAAAAAACCTATCTGTGGTTGACTCTAAAAGATAAAGCGGAAGTATTGCTTAATTGAGTTAAAATTGTTTCGAAAATACGTCTTTAGTCTTAAATAACGGTTGTGTGACTTGCAAGACCATTCTGTTTGTTTGTGATGGAGGATTGTTGTCTGCATGCCCAGTGTAACTCTTCAATTTCCTTTTGCGCTGCATTTCTGTTTCATGCTTAGCCTGATGTATGAAACATTGATAAGAATTTTGATAAGGAGCAAAATATTAGTAGCTTAATCTATCTGTAAGAGATAGAGAAAACCGTTTTATCCTAAATGCTCTCTCTCTCTCACTCGATATATACAATTCGATTTCATAATTATATTATTTATTGATTTTCCTCTGTGCAGTTGATGTCATTCCATTCTAATTAACAAAAGTATAAGCAGTACAAGATGGTGTTGTCATTAGGGCATTTTTGTTTGTGCTGCGTTACTTTCGTGTCTGTTGATCATCTTCACAAACAAACGAGAGCATCTATTTTTGTGTTGATCAGTTGGTAAACTGGTGAGACAAAAGATGAACCGAATGTGAGCACCTTCTAGTCTCTAACGTATACACAGCATTCCCATATGTGTTACAATCTGTCAATTCTTCTCCTCACTTTCATTGTGTTCCGTTTCTTTCACATAAAAACTTATATACATATAAACTTAATCATAATGCTTGAATTATAATATTTTTCTATTGATCATATTTACAGGGAGGCAGAAATGAGCGAGTCAGAATCACTGGGCAGTAGCAGCAGTGGTTCCGACGATTTGGCTATTACCCAACTACTGGCCTCTGTCGCTCGACCAATCCCGCAGTCGTTCACATCATCGCCTTGGGGTTCAGGTACGTGATATGTTTTTCTTTAAACGTATTGGGGTATAACTTGTATGTGTGGTTCCTTGTTTCTTGAATGAGTTGATCTTTATTCTGCTAAGCTTGGTCAGTTTTCGTTTTGTAGTGAAACATAGAGATTGTAGCGCCCTTTTAGTTAATATATCAATAAGACTGAATGAACTTTAATTTCGCATATATGAGAAAACCTTTATCCATAGATGTTCTGATTTTGTACTCTCGTGGATAAAACTGATTGTGAAGGACTCCCGTCATTCATATTCAATACGAAAAAGCCGTAAAACCAAAAAAGCATTTGAAATAGTTTAGTTTGAGTTATCCAAAGTAATTACCATCACTATGAATATAACGGAGACATGAAGGGCTAGAAAATACAACTTGTGTTTTTCTCCTTTCTTACATGTTTTGCTAGAAAATGGGGGTGCGTAGATGTTTTTGTCCACCTTGATTATACAAGACATTTCACATGGCCGCTTATGAGGTCACCTAAATTAAGCAAAGCTGTGTGGCTGAGCAAGAAGTAGGAAAACATAATTATCTTACTATTGTTTGATGAAGGCGAGAAAGAAAATAATGAAAGACATAATCGCATGGATTAGATCATCGTAGACAGTATTGTCTTGCATGATTGACCGTATTTCTTCATGTATGTGAGTGTGTTGTTTCTTTATTAGGTGCGGATCACCCCAGGAATTCCATTGCTGAACGGCCCCATGCCGAGCATGGGACTCCTAATTAGCTTATAGCAAAGTTTTAATGCCCTATAACCGGCAACCTGCAGCTCTGTTATATCCGTAATTGGAAGTTATTATAAGTAAATATAACCTGTTAAACCCCCATAAGAGGTGCCAGAACCTGATAAGTAACCATTACTTCATGATGGTCTCCTGTTGACCTCTGTATTCTTAAGTATATTCGTGGCATGGTCACAACTTCTGATTTAACGTCACGCGAATAGAAATTTGCATTACGTGAAAACGTGAGGTATGAAATATCGATTGGCTATTAATGCTTTCATTGTTACTTATCGTCACAATGAGAGCTGGTTAGTTTTTTAGTAAACTGTTTTGTATCTCGAAGTATTTGCGCTCCCCTTCTTTCTTAGAGCTTAGTATAAGCGTGTTTTGTTTTAATCATATATGGTAATGGATACTAATCATAACAGTCGTTAAACTAGCGTACTGTTTTGGTTTGGCCTTCTGGTCTTATAAACATGGGCTAACTGTCACTTGTTTACTGTTAGTTGAGCTTCATTCTCAATAAATAAACAGTGCGTTATACTGGTCATGATGGTCAAATGAGTTTCCACGTCGATTACTCTATATTTTGGTTAAAGTGGCGACTTTTTTTACGATTTTGTTTCCCACTTGTATGAAAGTTTTGGTAGAATGTAAACACTTTGAGGGAGAAAATTAAAGAATTTTTAGGGAAGGTGTCTCGTTTGAAGTATTTCGTACAAACGCCTCATATCGATTGTAGAATCTGCTTGAGAAATTTAGAATGTTTTATAAAGTGTAAACTCATTCTTAGAGCAAGCAATTTACAAAGCTTCCCTTGTACAGAATCGGGGAAGCAAGATAGAGAAATGTCCAATGGGAAAGTGGATGACGTGGCTTGATATGTCACCTTGTTTCTTTGACAAAAGATGACGTGTCTCATGTCACAGTTGTGGACTGACTGTAGTCATCATGGGATTAGTTATCTATTTTTTCTCTTAAGAATATGAGCAATGAGTTATTCTTAACACTTAATCGCCATTATTGGCATACAGATTGATTGCTCTAACATGCGAGAATGGTTTATACATAATGTGAGTGACAAGTGGGCATAATCGTTCAAAGGTTTAGGTATTCAGTTATGAGCGGTAGTCAAACTAGCGATGATCCAATCTTTGCTCGGCTAGCTCACTTACTTCACTCAATCGATTGAGAGTTGTATGCGTTTACGTCCTGAGTGAGTATGTATAGCTGTGTGTAAGCAAATCGAAGACTTTTCTTTTTTAACAATGTTCATATTGGAATGAAGTATCGCGTTATTCTTACAGTTATATTGCTATATCGCAGAACACTATCACAAACTTAACTGGTGGTCAGTTGAGGGTATGGTCGTTAAATATGCTTGATAAAGAATCGGAAAAGTAATTAAGTGGCATGATCTAACATCGTATGCAGAAAGTAGATTAATGTACATTATTTTGTAAATAACCTAGCAGTCTTTATGCGACTTATATAGAAGTATGTCCAGATGGTCAAAAAAGAGGTCGTAGAAGATAGAGTAAGCCACATGTTATGACATCATTAGCATACTGGACGTTCAGCAAAGCTGATTGATAACTTGTGAATAGCAAACTTTATAGGGGACAGAGGGGAAAAATGAATCGTTCATTCTCAACATTTTTCATCATTTTTTTTTACAGCTGTCTCTCAGCCTATGCTTGGAGGATCATTCGGATTGGCCCCAACTCCACCATTAATAAATGACCAGGTCAGTCAGTTTTTACAGTTAGCTGCGAATGGGTGGTTGTGAAATTCAATTTTGTATTCTTTAATTGTAGCTAGAACGTGTTGAAGTTTCCCCAACTTCACGCGATATACTTTTTTTGTCCTTTGCAGAGTTTTAATAGCCCTTAATACGGCAATTGCGATTGACTTAAGTCGTTTGGGAGTTCAGTAATTAGAAAGCTATAGAGAAACTGAACAAAAGGTTTTTTTTGTGGCGAGTGTTCCCTGCTTCATACGTTGAGGGCCTATGACGTTTCTATTCTATTACTTCCACTTGGGATATTCACACTTTGAAACAGTATGTAGTCCTAGTGTGGCAAAGTATTTGTTACCCCAGGCAACATATAATGCTTTTCCGTCTTGTTCTCGCAGCTTAAAGTGAGAAAACATTTCTTTTCTTTCTTCTTCGTTTTAATCGCATTATTTGAATATTGAATGGTAAGCTCTGTTGAAACATATAAGCGATATGGTTGTATAGCATAACAACAGTTAATGTTATACGAACGATTATCACCTCCCATTGTGCTTATTCATCTTACAGATTGAATATCCCTTTAAAACATATTCTTTAACTGATGCAGCTGCTCAACCAAAGTTTGGTTAGCTAAGATTAGAACGATTGAAGCTGAAGATATCTTTGGATCTTTGTCGTTTCTTCTCATCCTTTTTTTTTGCCCTGTTCTACATCTCATTTAAAAGGATCTTCCCATTCATACCCAGCACATCACTGTGCCGTTAGTCACGAATGTCAGCTGCAGTTATTCGAATTGAATCGTAGATGTTTTTTTTTGAATTCATTTTCTGAAGCGCCGCGTTGCGGACGGCAAAGAGAGGAACAAGAGGATTTGTCTTGGTGTAGCCACGAGAATAGGCGTGGCTTGGATCCCTTCTCTCCTCCACATACACTGCACGGACCGCCCTCCCATCCCCGCATAGAATCGATTTGGGTCACACTAACACGTATCTCCCCTCGCTATGTATTGTGTTTTTGGCCCTCGATCATTCGCGCATTGTGGTTTTCCTGTATTTCTTGACGTCAATCAATTCCGTCTGCAATATTTTATGTAGTTGTCAAGCTTAGGTGATAAAACTGTTGCCCAGTGTAGCTATCTTACTTGTCACTCTTATTTGATAATCATTTCAATTAATCATTGTTTGTGAGTGGCTGACTTTTTCGTTTAGTTGCTGGAACCATCATCTCTTTTCCACTATTCGAGCTTAATTCCCATCTATTCAGTGTAAAAAACTGCTGAATGCAAAAAAGAACATTGCCTTAGTCGTTCCCTCTATTTTCTCTTTTTCTCTCTTTCTCTCTTAATGAATACAGCAAATATGCCGCTGTCGCTATTGATTGCACCAGTCGTTCGGACTGACTACTCCTAAGTCTTTAGTTTCACATCTACATCTCCTTCTGTTTAATATAGTCCAATATTGGAGCCGAAGTTGATATTCGAACCTCCAGTTGTTATCGTTTTAATTTTGATCAGCAACAACACCTTGTGATTTACTTTTTGATGAGTTTTTTTCAATATTCATGTCGGCTCAATCTAAACTGTTCATTGAAGTCGTTGAAAGTCAGTTTGCAGTTCTTATCAAGACCAACAATCCAATCATCAGGGTGGGATCGCTTGTCAAACTGCTATAGTTTTTTGTCAAGCTGTTTGCTGTCATCTAGACCATGAGAAAAGTGGAAGATACAGACAGAAGTCTGTCGTCTCAACTATAATTTCTGCCTTTCTCCTTCACAGTTTTACGTTATCAGCTGAAAATATCTATCTTCGGACCGCATTTTGCTTTTGACCGTTTTCGCGGGCGGTCTTATATCTGTTGTACATCACAGCAAATTGTTGGCAGGGCTAATTAACTATCTTAGTAGTTTGGCTTGATAACATAATTATAGATATAAACACAGTAAGAATGCTTTTGATTGAAAGCTGCATTTAAAACTTACTGTCTGACGGAATCACTGATAACATTCAGCGACTCTAGACTATATGTTACCTTGGTTTTTTTTTCTATAAGTTACACTGCGCAGGTTCGAAAAAAATTCATTGTAAAATAATAAGGTCGCGCAAATAGTTGAGGAGAATGTACGAATGGAGAGTTGCTTCAGTTTTTTTAGTATTGAATGAGAGGTAATGGCAATCAGACCATAGCGTCATGATTTTTTGGCCAACTTCGGTCGACGACAACAGTTTTACTAAAACGACGTCAACCGAGAGCTGAGCGGCCTTTAAGATACATAGCCCTCGTACCGCGTCGCGCCACCCTTTTTTGTTGACTCTCAGAGGCGCCCGGTCTTCTCATTCAATGTTATGTCCCTTCTCCCTCCGCCCGCATTGGAATTAGCAGTCTGACTGACTAACTGGTTGGTTAGTCAATCGGTTGGTTGGTCGCCCGATTCCTTGATGGGAATACATCGGCTATTCTGAAGCTTTGAGTTTCATCCTCATCATTGGGCTAGTAGTTTTTTGACTTCTCGCAGTTTTTTTTTCGTATCGATTTTAACATTGTTCCACGTCAGCTCTGCTTGGAAGCAAACTAAGTTGAGATCGATTTTATTGATTTACTTGTTTATGAATTGATGAAAAATAAATCAATTGTCTAGTTTAAGATCACGTATATTATGTTGTTTGATCTCATGCTCATTCGGCGGTGAGACAATACACGATAAAGATTTTTAGGTCGTAACGTGATAGTTCAGCTTAGTCACTTCATATAAGTTTTTGTCTTCATAAAAAGTTTAACGTTGTTTTATTACGTTTTCCTCTTACCATCCATATCGACGGCTCTTTTATCTGAATATTTCACAACCCGCTCATAAAATAATCAGCATTTGTCATCAGAATCGGCATTACACTAATCATTACTTTTATAGGTAGTTAAGTGCCCTCTGTGCCTTGAGCCGTTCCGTGAACCCAAGGTACTAGCGTGCTTTCATTCCTTTTGTAAGTCGTGCCTTGAAAGACAACTTGAATCCGCTGAGCGAATAATTTGTCCGCAGTGCCACATGGAAACTCCTTTGAGGTTTGAATCGATAATGTGTCCGATAATGTGAAGGCTTCATATTTTCAGCATTCAGCTGGGTCTGGATTCCTTACTATCCGACTTCGGCCTGGAATCTGTCCTCTCCCGTCAAATGAGTGGAGATGAGAAGAGCTTGTTATTTGGTTCACCTAGTTCCACTTCATCATCGCCTCCTTTATCTGATTCACCATGTGATCAAATTGGGCGGATTAATGATATGGTAAGTTAAAAATATAAGCCAAGTGATTCATGAACCATTTAAGCTCGCAAACCAATCCTTCCAGCGAAATACTTGCACTGGTTGCAAATCTGGAGAAAGAGCATCAGCATTCTGCCAAGATTGCTCACACTATCTTTGCGCTAACTGCAAAATGGCTCACCAATACATGCATTGTTTTGAGGGACATCGTGTTGAAGCCATTTCTCCCACACCTGTAGGAATTGTTACATTCATCAAAAGTTTTCACTGTTACTTTCTAGACCATTTCTACCACTCCATCTGCCCCATCAGAGAAGGCATCTTGCAAATGTCTTCAACACAGGACTCAAGTCCTTCGCTATTTCTGTCTCACCTGCAACGTCGCCATCTGCCGTGAATGTGTTCAACATGAACATCCCAAGCCATCTCATCACTACGAACTCATCAGCGAGGTGAGCCTGACCACCGGGTCCTATCGCGACCGGACTCCCCGTGGAAGAACTTTACAATCGATGCAAGATCATTTGCGTTTTTTCGAACCCATTTTTTTTTGCTCCACGCAAATGGTTGAAGCATGTTTAGTTCCACCCCCGGGATAAGTACTATTTGTGTGATGTTCGGACGAGGGACCTGCTGACAGGTTATGACCCGTGAAAGTTGGCGAGCTTTGCTTGGTTTAGCAGGCAATGACCCTACGGAATGATAGCTGATGCGAGCCACATCACTTCTCGAAAGTGAATAAATAAAGTTGGCTAGCTATCGAGGTAGGCGAGTGAATCAAGCTTATTGTTCACTAACCTCACCGATGACCATTTTCCTACATGTTGGCAATTTGTTCATGTCTTACCTCTCACCAATTTTACTTCCATGTTTACATCGGCCTACATATTTAACCTATCAGAGACATCTTTTAAATATTTTATAAAATTCAGGTAGCCGAGAAACAAATTTCCATTTTGGAGCAGCTTGTCGATGAATCTCGTTTAAAACATCAAGAGTTCTTGGATACCTATAAGAAGGTGAGTGTTATACCCTTCGATTTAGTAGGAATCATAGTACGTGAAGGTTATACACTTTTTTTAGGTTGACACCACCCAGCAAATGCTGCAATTGAACTTACAAAGGGCCCACCAACAGTTGGAGGAAAATGTTCAGAATGTTATTAGGGTCATCGAAGAACACAAAAAGAACATTGCCAAGGAAATTGAATACGCCTATTCTGGCAAACAGGTATGCATTGATTTTTATATTCTGTCACATTGACACTTCGGCTCGAGTCATTTTGTATCCTTTACTATTTACCATCAATTGAAATTGTTAAGTGGGTTTGATCCGGTTTCCTATTGTTCTACTGAGACTTAGTCGGAGTAGTTACGTGTGTAGTTGTAAATCGCGTCAGAAGTGCCGCTGGTCATAGTTTGTGAAGTTGTGAGCAGAGCACAGACGATTCTTGTTCATCATACCATAATGGTATTCGTCTTCACACTTGTGTGTTTAGACAGTAATGTATGGGATTCTTATTGAACATCAGGCTACTTATGTTTGCCCAACACCTGTCGCCTGTCTTTAGAGTGGAGGTCGCTTGGTGACCGATCGAATGAAAGAGAATAGGGTACATCTTCTCACAATTTCTTGCGAGCGAATGTATGCAGAGATGGGGATTAAACAATTTGAGGAGTGTGCGAATGCCCTTACTTTTTGGAGATAAGGGGTAAAAGAAATCGTACTAAGAATGATTTTTCAGCTTCAATTAACAATGGTTGACAAACGTATTCAACAATTGTCTGAGAAGTTGGGTCAAACTATTGAGTTCACTACACGCTTAATCAGATATGCTTCTACCACAGAAGTACTTCTTTTCAAACAACTCTTAGAAACTCGTCTCCGGCTTTTCCTTCAATATAACCCTGATGTGAGATTATAAGAAGTGTATGTAACAATAATTATTGTTTTCAGGTTTCGAATGTCTTAACTTCTCCAGTAGACATTGAAGTCCCAGCTCTCAATTGCTCGCAGGCCAAGCAATCGATTCAAGCTTTATTGGGCCATGTACGTGGTTCAACAGAATGGCCAGGAATCGTTTCTTCAGCTCAAACGGGTATGCCCCCAACCCCTATCGGACGTCCACCAAGTCGTCAGGTGAATATAAAGTTGTTTAATTGCATAATCATCCTTTCCATTTTAGATGCTCGGTCGCTCACCTCCTCTCGCTCATTCAGTGCCTACTATTAGTTCTATTGCTCCATTTTCTGATTCTAATCTTCTTAACCCAAAGAACGACTTTGGAGGTTCCAGTCAATCACTTGGACCATTCAACGACGTAAGATATATTCTAAGTTTTGTTTGCTATAATCGAAGTTTAGGCTTTCAATCAATATGATAAGTGGTCTATCGGAGTTGAGCCAAGCTTAGGGCTCTTGGAGTCGAATAATACTGAAGATGCTAAAAATGATGCTCTCTTCACTCCTAGGTACGTGAATGTTCTTTTGATAGTTAACTAAAAATCAAACAGAATAATAGTTACTTACATAACCTTTGCAAGTGAACTCTCATGAATAGCTAGTGAAACATTTAGTATCATATTATGTTGATGACGAAAGTTCTTATTGAGTTTGCGAGCGTTTCACAGCGATGCTTTTAGTAAATAATACTTCTCTGTATTCGAAATGACGCGAGCTTTCTCGCTGAGTTTCCGTTAATACTCCTAAATATTTCATCGCGAAATCGCTTGAGAATTTTATATCGATGTTTTCAGTCGTTCTCAAATCAAGCGCCAGAAGATGATTTACCATTGTAAATTTGGTGAATTCGGAGTAATGGAGGGACAATTCACTGAGCCTTCAGGAGTTGCTGTTAATGCTCAAGGCGATATCATTGTTGCTGATACAAACAATCATCGAATCCAAGTAAGAAATTGAATAGTCATACGTTTGCTCAACAGATTCTTATAGGTTTTCGATAAAGAGGGCCGCTTCAAGTTCCAATTCGGAGAATGCGGAAAGCGTGATGGTCAATTACTCTATCCCAACAGGTTAGTGTTACCTTCCATACGTGATTGTTAATGGGAATAATTCTAGAGTTGCTGTTAATAAGATCACTGGTGATTTCGTTGTCACTGAAAGATCCCCAACACACCAGATCCAAGTATACAATCAATATGGACAATTTATGCGTAAATTCGGAGCCAATATCTTGCAACATCCTCGTGGTGTATGCGTTGACAACAAAGGACGCATTATTGTTGTTGAATGCAAGGTTAGCCTTTTCAAGATTAATTTTCTTACGATATGCTCAATAATCGAATGACATTTCTCACGATTAAATGTCGTACGAAAGTTTGCGGATTTTAATATGAATGATATTTCAAACGAAATGCTTAACAAAGCTGTTTCAGGTGATGCGGGTCATCATCTTCGACATGTTCGGCAACATTTTGCAAAAGTTTAGTTGCTCTCGGTACTTGGAGTTCCCCAATGGCGTTTGTACTAATGACAAGAACGAAATTTTGATTTCCGACAATCGCGCTCATTGCATAAAGGTAACTGCTCTGATAAAATTAATTTTTTTCAACTTTGTCTTCAGGTCTTCTCCTATGAAGGTCATTACTTGCGTCAAATCGGTGGTGAAGGAGTCACTAATTACCCTATCGGAGTCGGAATTAACTCCATGGGAGATGTTGTAGTAGCTGACAATCATAACAACTTCAACCTTACTGTGTTCTCGCAGGTTAGTGTCTAGGTTTCATTGAGTTAGATCACTGCTCTCTTGCGTTTACCATGTCATTATCATCTCTCCATCTTTTATTAATCATCTGTTGGACGGAAGTAGATCTTGTCAATCATTCGACATAGTAATGGCTGAGAACGAATCTGCTTCCTAATGCAAACCGATCGAATCTCGTTCGATTTATCGCTGACACGAGGTTAATTCCCATCAGGGAATACAGAAACATTTGGCCCGTTAATCATATAACTCTCTATTTTGATTGGGAGGGAATTCTCTACAAGCACCTGTCATGGCTTTAGTCATGCCAGATGATGTCTGTCCAATGTCTCATCTGGATAACTGGACTTTGCCTCCGAAATTGTATAAATGTCCTTGATATGTAGTTGTCATAATTTGGTGACTTTGTCTGCATCGAGATATTTGACATTGGTCAGAGTAGAAATATAAAAGATGGCAACCTAATATTCCGAGGTTTGATGAACATGATGCAATTATATTTTTAATATTTCTGGTCATTGGACGTTTTAGTTCAACTAGAATGCTTTGTTTCTAAAAACCTGGGCCATCACGCTGAAAATAATACAAACTAAGAGGTGGCCTTGAGCGTTATGGGTGGCTGGTGGTAAACGACTTTCCCCTAGCTATCATCTAAACTTCCCGACGTCCATTTGGAGTCATATACCGCGACCATGGTACCACTCTGTGTTACCAGTTTCCCCAAGGACTTTCGTGCTCTCGCTGCTCTGTTCTGTGATATTATTTTTGAAATGTACAGAATCGTTAAGAGGGGGTCATTATTTGAATTCGGGGATATTTCATGGCAAAAAAAAGCATTGATCTTCTCTAAACTATCAGTTTTACTTACATTATTTAATATCTGTTTATAGGACGGAACCATGATTGGCGCTCTCGAATCTAAAGTTAAACATGCACAATGTTTCGATGTTGCTCTTGTAGACGATGGATCTGTGGTGCTGGCATCAAAGGACTATCGCCTCTACTTGTATCGCTTCCAGCAAGGACATTCAACTTCTTCCTCAGCTGCTGCTGCTGCTGCTATCGCAGCTTCAATCTAAGCTGCAGACGTAAGCCTTTTCTGGATCCGATCCATCGCCGTTGTGTACAGCGCTACTGCTACTACTACTTTTCACAGTTTTTCTCCACTACATTTTTATGCTATTACTACTAGTTAGTATCATTCATCCCTACTGTGCTGGTCTGTTGATCGATATCTGAGGCCCTCAATTCAGCTCGAAAAACACAGATTCAGCTCTTTAGCGGATGTTAATATGTCTCTGTTATACTGGTTAACTTCCTTATCTATTTGTTGTGCCTCCGCAGCTTTTCTTGCTCGCTCGTGGCCCAGTAGCTGCTAGCACGCCGGCTGGACCGGCGCCGTGTAGCGTTTTTTTATGGCGACTACCGGCGGCTCTCCATTCATTTAGAAGACGCGCCAGGCTGCGCCTTGTTGTGTTCACCCCTTCTGTTGTTCGCCCCCAGTTTGTTACAGTTTCTTGGTTGGTTATTAGCTCTTTCTATTCAAATTTTTAACTTTTGTGCGTGTGGTAGGACCATTAGGGTCACGTTCTTAGGGTTTCTTTGCCTTTGTATATTCGATTTGTTTGACAGCCTGGATTGCTATTGTAACTCTTTTTACTATCCGTTTCATTCTATTCTTGTAAGTCCGCGAATTGCACCTAATCGAACGACTAACGAGCGATTTAGTTGAGCTGTTGAGCTGTCGCTGGCGACTCGTCTCTTGCTCTGCCATTTCGAGTATTTATTCTTTTTCTTTTTGTTTAATTTGGCAGAGAACAGCTTTCGCTTTGTTTCTTCTCTGTACGCCAACAATAGCATTCTCGTCTCGATTCTTTCGATTCCTTGAGCCCTCATCCTGTGTGTTAGGGTAATTCGCGTTTTCGCCTAGCCCTTGTTTACAACCCTGCTTCGTTTTAGTGCCAGCATGTGTCTCTGTGATTTCGCAGTAGAATGGCCTGCTCGTATGATACTCCTGAAGTAAATTGAGGCCCATACCCCGTTTTCGCTTCCTAGTGTTGTCCCCTACAGTCTTCTACTGTCCTCCTCCCTGCCCCTAAACACACGATCATGCATACCATCACCACGATCGCGACCTACACCCGCCAATTCGAAAAAAAAACAAAAAAAGTAAACAGCCCATTCTTTTTTTTCTTTCTCCCGGTTAAAGTCTTACCCCATCAGAAATGTCGATATATATACGTTTTACCCTTCCGTTTTTGTTATCGCGGGCATCATCCCATTCTCTGTTAAGCACTTGTAAAATGCACATATACAACATATTTATTTTAACGTTGTCCTCTCGTTGTTTGTAATAATGTATACGAAGTTAGGCGCGCTTGGGTGCTTAGTCGTGGGACGTTGACCGTCCCCATCTTGTTGCATCTCTCTGTTGGTTTTCATTTGTTAGTGTGTGCGACTGCCGGCCAGTGGTAAAAGTTCGTAATATGACTTAGTGAGTGTGTGTCTGCGTACTACTCTCTCGGTGTAAGCTGTGGCAATATTCCATAGTCATATCCAGTTTCTTTCTGTGTTTCTCTTTCTTTTTTTTCTATTAAATAAGCTTTTGTAGTTCGTTTAGCTATTTCAATTATGATGTACTATATAGTTATATATATTTTTTAGGAATATATATATTTATATATGTATTTTATGAACACATATATTATATTATTGGTTGGTAAAAAGTTCTGTCGCAAATTTACAAGAAGTTTTACTTTTTTCATAAATGTTATTAATTTGTTGCAGTTCGAGATCAAATGAGATTAATATCCGTGCAGAGAGAACTTTTTGAACTCTCTCTCCTGTCTCTCTCTCTCTCCCACTCTTCCATCTTAAGCAAATTATTATCGCTTCAAGATCTTTATTGAAAAAAAAAGACCTCAACTGCAGCGACAGAACTTTTTCCTGACTACTTATAATCTTACTTGAAAATGGTTGCAAGAACAAAGATCGACCGATATCTTTACGGTTGCTTTCCGCTGTGTTTCCTTTACCTTCACTCGAAAACAAGATGGAGGTGAAGAAAAAGATTTCTGTTCACTCAAATCATGGAACAAATCTTTTGTCACATCAGCTTCTACATCATTCACTTCCAACTGAAAGCATTTTTGCAAAAGTTTTACTTTTGTTTTTCTACTTTCATGCTACGAGCTGACTTTCATAAATGAATGATCCAAAAAAACAGTTAAGCTTATGTGAATCGGCTTTTTCTTCTGCAATGAAGAAGCAACAATGTGTATGGAAGCCTATGCAGCTACTCCATCCAAGCTGTTCAATGTGTCAAGTTCATTTGCAACCAATTTTCATACATCTTTCCATCCTTATTCAAAAGAAAAGATGAATTGGATGAAAGCAATTGATTGAAGAATCACCTGAAATCAATTGTTAGCATTCATGAATCACAAAGCAACTCAAATCTATCGAGAATCAAGCATCTTTTCATATGAAGAGTACTCTTTCGATATATGTTTAGAAGAGATAGACACCGTTTCATTTTAAAATCGCAGCCACAAACTACACACACAGTCATATTCGCCCTTATCCCCCATTTGTCCCAGGCCCATCTTGGTCTTTCATAATCAGTTAAGTGCCCCTTCTTTTTAAGTTTTTCTTATTATATTTAAAGTTAATTGTATTATAGATGTTTTTTTTAAAGTTTTTAGTATTTGTTATAATTGTACATTAATCTGCTTGTTTTCTTTTTTATTATATTATATTTTATATATTAAAGAACAGCTATATAGTGTTTCCTTTCTTCTTTCTAACATTCAATCCTATCACTCCCTCTTTCCCTCTCCCTTCCCCTCCCTCCCCCCTGCGCCTTCCCCGTCCCCTTTCCCAGCCCAGCCCTATAAAGCAAAGAATCCTTTTCTCTTCTACTCCTACCTAGCAAAACTCAGTAATTTGTTTATAATTTAAAGTTGTTTTTTGCTTTATATTATATATAAATATATATAAAGTTTTGGAAAAAAGAAAGCATTTCCTTATATAGTTTACAATGAAATCGTCTCAATGATTATCTTGTGAAAAGCTGATTTGAGTATTTGAAGTTGGAGTTGAGTCTGAAAATCATTGTCAACGTCATCGCTGCCACCGACAACAACATTCAAGAGAGATGATGTAGGAACAATGCTCAGATAATTCGGATCCAATGATACATCAGATGATATTAGAAGAGTTTCTACCTATAACAAGATTGAGTTAATTTGTCAATCCAACTCAAATCGACATGAATGTCGTCCTGACGCGAATGGAAAATTATTTTTCGCATTGGAGCACAGAAGCAACATAGCAATGAAGTACAACAGATACATACGATGTATCACAGACAAGGGAAGACATACACATAAAGCATTATTAATAAACATACTTTGTATTTTTTAATAATATGACTGATACGTGACGGATCCGGAAAAGAAACATGTCCTTCATACTGTAAATAAAAAGGAAAATAAATTAGTTTTTTCTTTTTTCTTTTCAATTCCTCTTCAGCTGCATCGTCTTTTGGATGAAACCTCATACGAAATGTTTTTTTCTTCTTTCTCTCTCTTCATACCTCATTCTCCATCACTGCACCTAACTCTCACTCTCCTCTCTCTCTTTCTGTCACCCTCTCACTCTCTATTTCTCTTTCTCTCTCTAATATTCATTAAATAAGTAAATTTTCTCTCAAAGTACAATCTTTGACTTGTTCTCTATTCATCTGACAAAACTAATTTTCTTTTCGAATATCTTGGAAAGGGATTTTGAAATGTTTTTAGATGATGATGGGGAGATGGGATGCGTACTGTGTTCAGAGTGAGAGCAAGGAATGCTCTAATCTCTCAAACGGTTCTCTGATTACCTTTGACCACATTCTTCAACCATTCTTCTCTTACATCATCTTTATCCTGTCACTCTCTGTCTATCATCTCAGCTATGGAAAAGCTTATAGAATTATCCTTCAACATTGAGGAAAAAATCGTTTCATTTGCTTTTCAAAATTTTTTTTTCTCCGCACAACTCCGTCCTCAACGAGATCGATCAAGAATTGGTCCGTTCTGGCTGTTCTTCAAGAGCTTCCAAGTGAAGAAGAAGAAGAAGAAGGAGAAGAAGGAGAAGAAGGAAGGGAGAATTACATCGTTGCATCTCACCAAATGTTTGAAAGTTATTGATGGTCATTCTCCATTAAATAATACAGCATGGAACGCAAAAAATGGATTCTTATCTGATGGCGTCGAAAATGACTTTTCAGTTCATCCAAGACGTTACCGCAAGATGAAAACGTAATTGAGATTCAGAAGACATTAAAGGGCACCCGTATCTCATCTTTCGCAATTTTCTATCGTTCGAGACGATAAAGAAGACACAAAAAAAGAAAAAAATGTAGTTGATGGCCATCACGGTGATGTTGGCCTTCAGAGAGTTTGATGACATTCACTCAACACTCGACTCATTACAACTATACCTTACCCATCCCGAACAATCATCTTTCATTAATCAGTCTTGCAAGCCACATCAGAACACAAGATCAAAGTTGAAAGAGTGACCGCTGCTTGATTTGTTTATTTTGTGTTTACGCATATGCGACATGCTACGTTGTCATTTTCAATTCAAACCAAAAATGAAATGGACGATTAGACGTCGGCATTCACTTTAACTCATCGAACAATGGGAAGTGAAGGAAGGAGAGAGGACAGAAGGGGGAAGGCTCACTCACATCACATCTGGATGTTCTTTAGCAGTTTTTTTTTCTTCATCTCTTTTCGATGCTTCGACGCATCAACTCTCTCCCATTTTTCAGATTCAAAAAATTATTTTCTCAACACACATCTGTAGATGATTGAGATTCGTCATGCTTCTTCTTCCTCTTTTTCATCTTCTTCACAATCATCCAGAATTCACATTTTGTACACGAATGTCAAAAATGAATCAGAGGAGTGGAAAGGAAAAAAAAAGAAAAAAAAGGAGCAGAAGAAGAGAATGGGAAAAGATGAATAATCATATGAAATGCCAGACAAACAGTCAAATGATTAGGACGAAGCTCAAATAGAACTTTGAAAAGTTGCTGAAAGGGGGGGTTTAGAAGAAGGTCAAATAATAATTTGAGACCTTATAAGTACATATTTCTCATCCTTTTCTTCCTTTCATCCGTTCATCTCTCTCTCTCTCTTCTTCTTCATCTCACTCACGTACTTTCTTTCTCTCTTTATATCTCATATACTCTTCCATTTTCACAATCTACTGTGGACTTTAAAGAGACTCGGATACTGGGTGGTCGAATGAGTTTTCTCTCTATCTCTTTTTCAATTCATCTCTCTCTCTCTCTCTCTCTATCTATCTCTCAAACTTTTTCTCTCACACATCCTGTTCTTTGGCTCACGAAAAAGACGACGTCAACCATCGTCAGCCTCGTCGTCGGACAACGTCATCAAAAGGACATTTTGCAAGCTGGGAGGTCTATGGTTACCCTTCAATCGAACAAATTTATTGTCTTTTTTTGTTCCTCTTCATCTCTTTTTTTAATCTTGTTAATTGGCTTTTGTCCTTCTACATCTTTTCAAATCTTCAACTTCTCCAGTTTCTGTCTCTCATACTCTGGCACACTCTCATATCTTAATGCTCTCTAATCCATATGTCAATTCTTCTCTCTTTTTTTGTTCTTCCGAATATCTTCAAGCTTTTAAACAATTCACATTGAAAAGAGGTAACGAGAGGGGTTTACAAGAAATAGATCAGAAAATGATTTTCAATACACACAAAGCTTCTTATATTACCTGCACCAACGTATTGCCAGTATACCAGGGATAGAAGGTGGAAATGAAATTGAATAAAGATTTCGATGGATGGCCGACAGCCAAAATGACCATTTGCTCCGGGAAATTATTTTTTAATTCAATATTCTTCAAATTTTCTGAAACTCTAATCCATATAAGGCTTAGATATGCTTCCGGGCAAACCTAGGGAGCTAGTGAGTTGAGCTTGACTAACCATTTCCATATTGAGAGCATTGGCTTTTCTGAATATACATGAATCATGTGTGAATGTGAGCTTTTTTTTTTAATTCTCCTTCTCTGGCTTTCTCAGAAATCTCCACGGACTTTCGTCACTATGGATTACCCTTATTTGGTCGATGGCTTGGATAAGTTTGTTGACAACATTCAAGCTTAAACATTTTTCATTTCACTACCGAATGACGTCATGTCATAAGATAGAAGGCTAGAAATGGGTAGGTCTTGATGATGATGACCATTGGGGGTGAAGCATACAAATTCCGCGAAAGCTGAAGGAAACCCCGTCAACTATGGAAATGGGTCTTTAGACGGAGGACGAAATGTGTGCGTGTGTGTGTGTGTGTGTGTGCATGTGTGTGTAAAAAAAGAGCAATGAAATGCACATTCAGCTTTGGATATTCAGAGAGAGAAGGAATGAGGAGAAAAGAAAAAGCTCGAGAAAGCTGTAGTAGTTGGGATGGATAACGAATTGCTTGCTTCAACGAACATCATTTGGTGTTCGCCAACTCACAAAAAATCCTCCAACCATCCATTTTGTTACATAAGGGAAAGGAAATAACTTAGAATTCAAAGACAGATGTACACACACACTCATATCCAATGGAAGAATCTGATTGATAGAAGTAAGCTGAGAATCCGACTCACCTGTCGGCTAGTATGGCTATGATTCGATCATCAGCTTGCTCATCATCATCTTCCTTCAACTTGTGGAAGAAGTCCACAACATCATGCGTACTATCACTAATTTTGCGAAATAGCTGACTCCATTCTTCATCACGTCCCTCCGTCAATAGCAGCTGAGATTAGTTGGGTGAAGCTTTGCATGTTAACAATCAAGTATACTTTAAGCTGATAGGACGGACGACGACCAGGAAATTCGATTTCAGGAGGTGGAATTCCATCATTGGCAGCACAATGTCTTATAACAATCATATTGTTCACACACAAACTCTGTCAAATTAGAAATATAGAAGAAGTGCTATGAGGGAGAAGCTGAAAAAAATTTAAAAAATTTACATTTTCACTCAAAATCCGATCGATATTCTGTTTCGTCTGATGCAAATGATCACCTTGCCAGAAGCCATCAACAGTTATAATTAATTTGATTGTCGTCTCATTGAATAAGTCAATCAACGTATTTTCCTTTTGAGGGCAAGACGGATCCTAAATGATCATTTTTATTGTTTTCAATTGAAATCTCATAATCGTGTCTATCTCTCTCTATCTCCTTCTACTTCTCTCTATCTCCCTCTCTCTCTCTTACCACAAGGATGGAGATTAACTGTAATCGTTCAGCTGCTAATACAATTAATGGCAATTGTATTATATTTGGCAATAAAATTAAAACTTTATCCTTCTGAAAATAATAAAAATATAAAAATATATATGAAATTCCCCTATGTTCGTCTCAATTTCAATTTTTCAGATTCAAAAATTAATTTTTCGGCGCTCCAATTACAATTAGATCCCGCTCACGTGACACGTGAAATGCGCACACACCTACGCATTGTCCATTTACATGTACAGACTTGTTGCGTAGACGGTTGTGTATTTCGATTTTTCGTTTATTTTCTTCTTTTTTTTTCATTTCTTGTTTCTCAGATTAATCAAAAGACACTTTTTGTGAATCTTTGATGATTGCATCAACATACCAAAGCGCTTTATTATTGTTTTACTTGTATTTGACAAAGACATTGCGACTGTGTAACAATACGTGGACACAATGTTATTGTTAATTGGCCATTAAGCTTAAGCTGCTGCTTCTTCTCAACTCCCACGAAGAAACATTTTATTGTTTGCTCTCGAAAAAATGGAATTTTGTTTGTATCATACAACTTAGGCAATGTGGATGATGAAATTGTTTTCCGATTATAGCATCAGTAGCAGCATCAGAAACTCAAAAACAGCTTTTGAATGCTTTCCATTGTTTTTGTGCTTTTGTTGCTGTTGATGTGCTGCTTCAAAAACTGTTTGAAACTAACTTTCGGCGCCCCCCCCCCCCCTTCACTAATGCTTCTACAGCATATGAAATGTTTTTTGTAATCAAAAAAACAGATCTATGAAATACATTGAAACAAGACTCTTCTTCAAATATTTTTTGTGGGCGTTGGACGAAAAATTTCCATTTGTTTTGGGTGCTGAAGACGTTTCACAGAAACACACACACACAGACACAAGGTAACAGGATCATTGATGAAGTGTACATTCATTGAAATATATTTTTTGTTTTTGATCATTCACAATCATATCCTTCATTTACAGAAAATGATTTTGTGAATTATCGAATTAAGTCCTTTTTCCTTTTTTCTGCTGTTTTTCACTGATTTGATGAACGTGATTGGTTGGAAAATAAGAAGTTGCACGAAAAAATCATTCCAAACAGTCGCGTTTATCCAATTAGTAAGTCTGTTTCGTGAACTAGACTCCCCAAATTCTGTTTTTTTTTGTATTTTTTGTTTCTGTGCGAAAAAAACCTGCCCAGTCTACCTCCCTTTCTCCTATTTCTCGTAGTTACCAGAGCGCGAAAATACAAAATTAATTTGTTCGGTAAGCAACTCTGCTCTCTGTGCGCACGCACACTCAAACAGTAAATGAAATAGGGGCTTCATGCTAATATTGACTTGACGTGGCTTACATGGAATTTTGAACAGAAAAACAGTCGAACGCTTACTTTCTCGCAATATTTCTGTAATATTTTGGCAATTTTAGCTACAACAACAGCGACAGTCGACCACGATAATTCCGCATAATCATGACATACTCCATCCCAATAGTTTCCTTCCCTGAAAATGAAAACTTGAAGGTTTGTTCCTTTTCTGTCATTTTGTAATCATCTCATAAGCTGGGCAAGCAACTTGTGTTTATTCTGTCCAAAAGGTGCTTTTCGCTGCTTGTTACCATACAGTAATTATGGGAATACATTTTTGAGTGATCGAATGATGATTGTCTGCTCGACAAAAGGTGATTCGAGAATCGAACCATGCCTATCTTGCTAAAAGAAACCAATGATCTAATCAAAAATGTATTCTTGCTCATACGAAATACATTACAATTTCACTGTTCAATTGAATACTTTTTGACTCTCCAAATTAGGTATGTCCGCATTGGCAAATCATCCGATCAATCACCACACAGCTGATGCAATTAAAAGATAATGGATACGAGATGAAATATCACAGATCAGACAATCGCGTATTTTTTTATGTTTAATCTGTATGATTGAGAGCAAATGAATACGAACATCATAAATCGTCGTAATCTTTACTTCTTACGTTATTTAATTCTTCATTCAACGTAACCGAAGAGTCAATCGATAAGCTTGCCGTTAAAGCTTTCTCAAATTTCTTTTTCTCCTTTTACTCTCCCTTCCTCCCTCCCTCTCTCTCTCTCTCACCAAGTTCTTGACACGTCCCTACATGGCAGTTGCAGCTGTTTTCTTTTTTTTTTGCTTCACGACGAGAACTCTCTCTATGCGTACGACTTTTTGCGTGTCTGCCTGTTTTTTCTCTGTTCGCCATCTTCAGACTTCCATTCACTCACAGACACATGCACGCAGAATCGCAGATGTCATATCAAGCTTCTTCTATTCTGCATATCAACTGTTAGGAAAACAGAAGCTGAAAAATATTTCTCCTTCACTTCACAATTTGAGCTTCAGAAATTGGTCCCCCTCTCATACTATTTTCCATGTTTTTACCTTTCTCTTTCTTCCTTTCCCTTCACTCGTTTTGCTTCCTCCCACCTTTCTTCACGTCCTCCCTATCTCTATGCGCTCGCTCCTCCTTCCAACACATATGAGAATACCTACCTTCAAACAACAAAAACACACACGAATAACCGGAAAGAACGAGACTCAAAGAGAATTGAAACACGCAATATCAACAAGAAAGTGAGTCAAATTGATGATAATCATAGATAACATCTTTCATAAGACATAATTTTGCTAACCATATTAGGGCTGTTTTCTCTTCCATCTCCTCCAACAATAGCAGCTCGTCCTCATAGAGATGACGTAGCAGACATGCTTTACTGATAGACATCTTGATATATTTCTGAAGCGAAACGGAAAATGAAGTTGATCGACCAACAAGTACAACTTTTCTTTTTTCTCTTTCAAACTGACTAGGCTGTCTTGATGTGAATCTCTTTCTGTTCAAGATTATCAGTAGCGATATGGATAAGATTAGGAAACACAGATGAAGATGTGATAAGATGACGTCCAATCAGCCACACACGAATATGCCTGGAAGATGAATGATGTGGCAATAGCTGTGCCTTGCGTCAACTCCATCTATGCATTCATCCATCCCCTTCTTCCGTCTTCTCAAAATTACCAAAATTTCAGATGAAATATGAGCATTGACAATGGTCACAACACGTTTATTACGGTCATTACTAGAACAATATTCTTTGAAATTTCTGGACAAAACACATACACAGGCATATAATACAGAACTGAGAGGAGAAGTAAAAAAGAAGAAGAAAAAAGAAAATAAAACTTTTGAAAGGAATAAAAAAAAGAGAATTTTCGAATATATATGAGAAGCAGTCTAATCAAACGAACATCCTTATACGAACATATCAAAGGGTAATACATGAGATTTGTTTGGAATATAGAATGAATAGTTTTGAACAAAACTGTCGTGACACACTGCTCATTTGACTTCTTCGATCAAATAAGGAAATGGTTTTAGAGTTACACACGAAAACACCGAATGTGTATCGGCTTATCCCTGAAGATCACGTCCCGAAATCAATTGGGTAATGACGCTTTCGTCAATCAAAGTAGTCGTATCTCCAATTGCATGTTCAGTACCTTCAGCAATTTTTCGTAAAATACGACGAGTAACCTGAACATCTTAGTTAGAGAGAGCGAACAATTGCTTTCAATCATACTTTTCCTGAACGAGTCTTGGGTAAACCAGGAGCCTCTTGAATAACATCAGGAACAGCAAGAGCTCCGATTTTCGTACGAACGAGACTCTTCAATTCGCCAACCTAGCAAGCAAACCATGATTAGTCATTTTCAAGAGATTAACCCACAATTTCCTTAGTTAAACGTTCCCCAGCATTCATGGTTACGAATGCATAAGGGAATGATCCTTTGATGTCATGAGGAGCAGCAACCACAGCAGCTTCAGCTACCTTCGCATGAGCAACCAAAGCACTTTCGATTTCAGCAGTTGAAAGTAAATGTCCAGACACATTCATGAGATCATCAACACGGCCTGTGATCCAAATGTAGCCGTCTTCATCGCGACGAGCTCCATCACCAGTAAAGTAATAGCCGTTGAATGGAGCAAAATATGTTTTTACAAATCTACAATGTCACCAGTATGCATATTTAATGATGTTGTATTGTAGTACCTGGCTTCATCTCCGTACACACCACGGCACATGCCAGGCCAGGCACGGTCGAAGCAGAGATTTCCCTCACCGGGACCTTCAATAACACGACCTTCCCCATCCAAAATCACTGGATTGACTCCGAAGAATGGGAACGTAGCAGCTCCGGGCTTCGTTGGAGTCGCACCGGGCAATGGAGCTATCATATGCCCACCCTAGAAAAAATGTTCCTTTTCGGCTGATAACGATAGATAACATACAGTTTCGGTTTGCCAATAAGTATCAACAATGGCACAACGGGCATCTCCAACAACGTTATAGAGCCATTTCCAGGCAGCAGGGTTGATAGGTTCTCCAACAGTTCCGAGAAGTTCAAGAGTCTTTCTTGAGCACCTAGAACATAATCCATTTGCTATTGATTCTCATTAATGGCACACCTTGTCACATGTTCATCTCCCAATGCCATAAGAGCCCTGACGGCAGTTGGCGAGGTATAGAGCTTGTTAACCTGTAAGCATTGTTGTTATTTTCTCAAATTTCAAAAAAAATGTTCTTGATTGGAAAAAAAAAGGTCACACCATCGCCCCATATAGATAAGACAGGCTTCATGGCACCATAACTTATTAGTCACTGTTTCACGTGTTCAACATTCGAGAGCACATGAAATACATGCCAAGGGCAAACAATGGCATCATTTTTATCTTTTCAATTTGCAAAGCAAAAAAAATGTTTACCTTATACTTATCAGTAACTTCCCACATGCGGGAGGGGGTTGGGTAAGTTGGAACTCCCTCGAACCAGATGCCAGTCAAAGCGTTCATTAATGGTCCATAGAGCAAATAGCTAAAAAAGAACAGATGCGATAGTTTCATCAAATAAAACATACGAATGGCCAGTAATCCATCCACAATCAGCTGTACACCAGTAGACATCCTTTTCAGGATGAGCATCGAATGTACATTTGGTAGTGAAGTAGCTGTAGGTCATATAACCAGCCGTTGTATGTTGGATACCTTTTGGCTTTCCAGTAGATCCACTGTAATGAAGAAAAGAATAAATAATGAAATCCCTCTAAGCGTTTGAAATCCCCTTTTTCGTATGTTTTTTATGCTTTTTAGCCGTTTGAGTGAAGAAAGGAAAACGCCGGATATAATTCACTGGAGGGATGTTTCTTGGCTATTGTTGGAAGAAGAGAGAGAAAAGAGAGACTATTGAATTATGAGAGAGAACGAGAGAGAAAGAAACGTTAGATGTCTGGTGATGTGGTAGCTTTGATGATGATGGTGGTGGTGGGAAGAAGAGAAAAAGGAGAAACAGAAAGTGCCATGGGGTAGCATGAGAAGAAAGGAGGCTTCTGTTGTCTACATTAGGATTTTCTAACTGCTTCAAACTATAGAGAGAAGAATTGATTCTTTCTTGATATATGCACATGGGCTATGAAGATTTACGTATTGACGAATATGTCAAAAAGTGGCGAGAAAATAGACGAAGGAAACAATCACATAAGGAAAAGAAGAAGAAAAAAAAGAAGAAAAAAGAACGAATAATCAAATATTGGTGTGCACACGCATACACACAAACGAGCAAGATGAGCATTGTAGTTTCAAAAAGGAAGCTAACTTACGATGTGTATAGGAGGAATAAGGGACTTTCAGCTTCCATCCATTCTACAGGTGATTCCATATGAGCATATTTTTTCATTTCTTCCTCATACACGTAATCATGTTCGGAATGTACGAATGGCTGAACAATACATGCACGTGAGTATTCATTCATGTACTTCGTACCTCAAGTTTAGGAGCTCCAGCAGGTATCGTTATCCTTTTGGTATGATCCACAACGATAACAGAGGAAACGGTAAGGTCTTCTTTGGTACAGAGCTGCACGGCGGAATTAACAATACTCTTGAGATCAATGAGTTTTGTGGATCGGTAGAAGCCATCAGCCGTCACGAGAACGCGACATCTACAACATTCAAGTGTTTATGTGCCCACGATTCCTTTTCAACATACTTGGCATCGAGCATTCTGGCTGAAAGGGATTCAGCTGAAAATCCAGCAAAGACGACGGAATGCATAGCGCCTAGAAATTATAATTTTTTGCATTCCATGCGTCCATGCGATTTCCTACCAATTCGGGCACAAGCTAACATGGCTACGGCTAATTCCAATACCATGGGAAGATATATTGCAACAACATCTCCTTTCTTTACGCCATGGGCACGGAGAACAGCAGAGAAATTGACGACCTACATAGAGATACGAGAGTACACAGTAGTCTTTTTTCAAGTTTAAAAAGTTTCTAACAAAAACTAAACCTGTTTATGAAGCTCAGCATAGGTAATTTTGGAGTTGTCACATGGCTCGTTTCCTTCCCAAATATAAGCAACCTAATATATGTATGATTTGAATAATAATTGGGGCGATTTTCATACCCGATTGCCTAAGCCTTTTTGTATGTTTCTTTCAAGGCAGTTGTAGGAAATGTTAGTGCGAGCACCATCCATGAACTTGCAGAAGATTTTTCCTTTCTTAGCATCGAAATTATATTCCAATCCCTTATAAAGTTTTCATTTAAATGATATTCTCAATTGTATCTCTCACTTTATCAGAAAGAGTTTCAAAATGCAACTCATCCGTTACAGTTCTCCAAAATGCTTCAGAATCATTGATAGAGCTACGGTATTTTTCATGGTAGGATGGGATACCGGAGATGTGAGCACCAGCCAGGAGAGGGGCGGGGGGGAGGAAGACCTATACAACTCAACATTCATAATTCGCAATTATCAGAGAAAGAGGTCATTGATAGTCTAAGGTGATACCTCTTCCGTTTCGTTTTCTCCCGCTGGACCATTTAGGTCAAAGTTAACGCGAACGTCCGACATCGAGAAATTTAGAGTGTTAGGTCTATCTGAACAAATATGAAATTTTGATAGTTTAGCAAAAAATGTATAAATTGTCCGAGTAGAATGCGTAAAGCTAATTATGAACAAAACTTTCAAGAGCAAATACAGTCTAGTTAATGATCAAGATGGGAACACTAATACACAAAGAACGATTAGTGGGAAGGCAACATCTTATCGGTCTTGGCTTTCACTTAGTGTGTCTATCTGTATGTATGTTTTATATATATGTGTGCGGGGACTAGACAGCGAAAAAAGAATTGGCTAGAACGGAGAGATAGAGCGACCGACCGCCGGCTGGCCGCGCTTGGGAATGGAATGGGGCAAGCCTCACTCGCTCTCCTCTTGGGGGGCGGACCCGCAATGTGTACACGGTTCTCTCCGTTAGTGGCGCGAAAGAAATTATTTAAAACCGAAAAAAAAAGAGGAATTTTGTTTTCATTTTTTTAAGTAAAGGAAAAGCTCAAAATTTTCTATTTATCATTAACATGAGTGCAAATTCCAATTGAACAGCTTAAGCACAAAATATTTCTGAAGAACCAACAGAAGCTGAAGACTAAAAACAATCAAAGGGTACATCCTAACTAAGGTAATCAAAGGGTTTTAAAAGTTTTTATTTGGAATTCATTTTGTGTTTTGTTTCTTATGTTATGTTACTCTTCTATCTTACCTTGTAACTCATCAAGCGTCTCATCTCATTTCTACTCTCGTTTTCGTGTGAACAGGTCGTACTTTAGACCAATGTACTGGAATGACTGCTAACAAAACAGCTCATGATATTGCTATTGAGATAAATACTGTTTTAGCCAAAGATCTTCAAGCCAATTTAAGATGTGCCATTTGGTTAGTTTTCGATTTCATTCTTTCACATTGTTTTATGCTATTCACTGCGTTTGATGTTGCAACTTCCTATATGTTGCAGTTGCTCCACGTTGAAAAATCCCGTGGTTCCAAGCTGTAATCACCCCTTCTGTAAAGATTGTATTGATCTGTGCTTCAATAAGAAGACCCAAATAGAATGTCCAATTTGTCGGCAACAAATCAAAAGAAGGTATACTATACTCAACAGAGTAGTCTTTGCATGGAAATGAAATGCTTTCAGAAGTTGCATTCCATCGGAATCACTAAATAGCCTCGTTCAAGCCTACTTGCAACTAGCTCGAGCATTTAAACGAGATGTGGCTGAAGCCGCTATTAACATACCGAAAGAAAATGTTTTTCTCGAAAGTCAAGCTATTCTTTCAACTCAAACGGATAGCCCGATGCGAGACTTCTTACCTCCCAAAGGTTTGCCCCCTACATTCGCTAAGCCGGTTCGTTTCTTTTTTTTTACTATTCTCACTGAAGTTTTATGTTTGAAGCGGCCGAAGAGAAAAAACCTTGCTGCTCCGCCCCAACCTGCTAAACTTAGCAAGTTGGTTGAAGAAATTGAGCCCGAAGAGATAAAAGATTGTGCCATACCTGAATCTAATGGTCTCAAACGATCCGCTCAGGGAAATGTGGTTTGATTGGAATTAGCTTAATCACGTTATCAAATTTATCTAGAAATCTCTACCTGAGAAAAAGGTTGCAAAGAAGGAAATCGACACGAGTAAGGGAGTGAATGTGGAAGTGCAATGTGAATTCGAAGCTGATTTGTCTAAAATTAATATTCGAACTGTGATAGATCAGAAAAGAAGTGCCCCCGCTCTTTCTGAAACTGAATTATAATCCGAATGTTTCAGAAACAGATGCATCGATTCATTCTGACATTGAAGCCTTGTTCTCGATTTTGCCGGGTATTGTGTCTATACTGATGAAGGTTGGATCCAGAAATTAGAAATTTAATCAGATAGTATCTCAGGATGAAGAACAAGAAGCACTTTGTCGAATAATAAACATGCGTTCAATTCGTGACGTATCTTCATCCCAGTGGATTTCGAGAGAAAAAGGCTCTGCTGGTATATAAATGATTTAGCATTAGATCAGACATCGTTCTGCTTTAGATCACATCGATAAATCTCTCGCTAATAGGGGGCTGAAGAACCTTTCAACTCCATTAGGTTCGTTGTTTCTTTCGTTATTTAATTTCAAAATTTTTCTTTTTTTACAACATTTTTCTGTGACTAGTGAGATTTTAGCCAAAGACGTAAACAAAACCATTGAAAGTTATAATGAACTTGATTCTGCTAACTTCTTTTCTGAAATCTCATCCAAAGGTTCTTTTGTTCAAACTCGATACAGAAATATCCTTTTAAGATACTGTCAAAGTCAACACCATCAGCACCTCAGGTTTGAGTGATTCAGGTAATTGTTATATCATCTTCTTCTTTTGATGTATTCGATTCGATGCTAATCTGCTTCAAACTGGATTATACAGTTCAATAGGTTTGATCAGCATCGCTCAGATTTTTGATTCAAAGCGTTCAATGCTAAACTAGCCATTTTGGCTTTCCTATTTATTTGTGATGGCTAATGATGTTTAATGATACCGACACTTTGACCATCTTTATCTTTTTTTCTGTGTTTCAGGTTCCTTTGAGTTAGGAGAACCTCAAGATCTTGGAGCACCTTTGCCGTTAACAAAACTAACAGATTCTCGAGAAACTCCAAAAAGGGTAATCATTTCTGCTCAATTCTTTGCATTACTCTCATTTTCCACTCAGGCTGATTCTTTCATTGCTACTCGAAAGTTTGCTGACTTTGGTATTGATACTAGTTCGACAATTGAACCACATGAGGTTTGTAATAGGTCGTTCGCTCAGATTAATGATCTTATTAGATCGTTCCTGGAACTCCAAGTTCAGTCACTCCCATCAAACATGCGGATGACAATAAAGAAAATGAATTCAATGACTCTTTTGAGGCCGAAGTTACTCTTCGTCTAACGGGTATTAGAGCACTCACAGTTCCTTTTGACATAATTCTGATGTTTCAGACAGTCTGAGAACTCCAAGTAGTGTATCTTCAAAACCTGGATTTGAATTCAACTCTACTAAACGTAGACAATCGTACGTGTTATCAATGTCGCGAATAGAAAACCAAACGGATGAAGTGAGCTTGGTTTCCTGGGGAATCTTTTAAAATAGAAATTTCAGGATTTGGTCCACGAGTTCCGAATAGCATTCCCTATGATTAAAATTAATGATGATGTTTGTGATAATGTAACCCATCTAGTCGTTATGAACACTAGTAAGTTCCAATTGTTAGAAACGGTTTATCCCTTGCTGATTTCAGATGGTAAGTGCCATAGGTCACTGAAGTATGCTTTTGCTATTGTTCGAAACTGTGAACTGCTAGGAAGGCAGTGGTTGGAAGACTGTGTCAAACAAGGTCGTTTATTACCTACTGTAAGTTGAATTCCGTTCTTCTATCAAGTACAACTGGGTTACAGGCTCCTTATACCCCAAGAGTCAGCACTCAATCCCAATTGACGGCTTCGCATAGAGTGCGAACGTCTAAGATTCCCTTATTTACGAATAAGAAGTTTATGCTACCTCCAAGGTTTAGCAATCATCATGTGATTACGCGAGAGGTGTGCTTCCAATTGCAAGTTTCAATCTGTTTCATTCCTGTTATAGAAATTAGGAGAACTGATTGAGCTATGTGGTGGAAAACTGATTACAAAATTATGGGAATGTGATCCCCAAGACACTTACATAATTTTCGCCACGGAATCGAAGGAGTATGATGTCGCTCGACGTTATGAGTTTGACACTAAAGTTCCGGTGAGTTGATTGCTCGTATTCTGTCATGTTACATGTCTCTTTTAAGGTTTTGAATGCAGAGTGGATCCTAGACTCAGTAGCGGAGTTCCGCACCATAACTCCTTTCGATAAATACCGAGTGTTTAGCACTACAGCAAATCAAGCAGTCAAATACTAGATAGTTCTATAACTTCTTTTGCATTGACAAAAACAGGTACCCAGCTACTACACAGAGCTTTAAAGCAATATTCACTTTCTATTTTATATATACATAACTGCCTCGTCCTTGTTTTTTTAAATTTTATTTCGTTTATACTTCGAACTTACTCATCAATTATTGTGTTGTGTTATCATTTTTGATATTTTTCTTTGGATTAACTGTTCACAGAAGACTTCTAAACATTTCCGTTCATCTAAGAACGACAGATTCGATTCATAAAATTTTTCATAATACTATAACAACAGATATTTATTTTGTTCCTTTATAACTGAGTTCGCAAAATATTATTTCCTTGAAATGATCTTTTGCTGAAAAATAAATCGTTGTACATGTAACTTCAGTAATAACTTTAATGAATTAGATTAGTGCAACGAATCAAACTGTCTGACCCGTCGTTAAATGTAGACGTGCTCCAATCGTAATACGCAATTCAATTGTAGACCCAAACTAAATACGGTGAACAAAACGATTGCTTCTGAGAAGAACGACGAATATTTGAAATCGTACTACACAGAATCCTTTCTGTAGTTTGTATTTCACATTATCTC